AAAAAAAAAAGAAAAAAAAAACAACCAAAAAAATATAATATAAATAAAGAGAATGACATACATAACAATTGAATTATTAAAAAAAACAACAAAATTTTTGTTATTATAACTTTAGGAATTAATGACAAAAAATATGAAAAAAAAAAAAAAAACAAGATTAGTCTTAACATTAATTGATTGAGCAATTAAAACTTAAAACATCAACCTAAAATAAGAGAAAACAAGAATTAAAAAATAATAATAACAAGCAACAAGTGATTGAACAGTTGAGTGTTTCTTAAGTCAAGGTTTTAATCTGTCTATTCAAAAAATGACCACTTTGACATGATTTAATGTAGTAACAAAACAGAGAATAAATGCAAAACAGCCTTTATTTCTCATCAGTTTTGCAGCCACCTTAACATCATCGAGGCCCTGATTGGCTGCGCTTGCCAACGTGGCTTGCAATATCATTGGCTCATATTTTTAATAGGTCACAGCAGAACAAAACCCTTTCATTACACGAAGGACAATACCATTAACTGCACCTTTTAAAGCCCTAGAAAGAGAATTAAATAAAAAATAAAGATGGAAATTAAATTCTGAACAAATCACAACCGTCCATCTTTGGGCATGGGAAAAAACAAAAAGTGGGATCAGAATTTCAGAAGCCTCCCATTGGTGGGATTTGGCTTGTGCAAGAATATGACTTTGAACAGTCTTCACTTAATTGACTCTAACAACAAATAAAACTAAATGATATAGAAATTTGAGATAAAAAGAATTTATGAAAATTTTATACTTGGTACGGGACATCAATTATTAGTACTATTCCACAATGTAGGTAATTTTATTTTGATTTCAAGTTTTATAAATATTTCTTTTCTAAGAAAAAAACTAATAGAGCTAGCAGTGTTATTCGAGTTGAGCCGAGTAGCTTCCGTTGTAACTGGTGCTCGTTCAATAAACAAGTCAAAGCTCATCTTGAGATTGATTCATTTAAGCTTAATTCAGCTCGTTTAATGAACCTAAAATTTTAGTGATATTAACAAGCATATATTGTTTGTTCGCCAACAAATTTGACTTGACTATTTCATATAAAACTCACAAAAAATAAAGAAAACATAATAGAAAATTAAAAAGTCTGGACTTATTTGATTGACGAGCTCGATTAGTTTTTTGAATTCGACTCGTTTATGTAAACCAACAAGCCAAACGGAGTTGTATGCGTAAATTCGTTAAGTTTTTCAATTGCTCTACGTGGAACTTTGTTTAGATTACATATAAGTATGAATGAAAAATTTATGACAAAAAAAAACACTTTAAAAAAATTTAATTGAGAATACTCTAAATGGTAAGTTATGGCCTGTGGGTTGATGGGTTCATTAAATAAGGCATAATGAAATAACCAATTTTTTCTAGGAAATTGAAGGATTTTCATTGGCTTGCCACTCCTTTTCACTTTTGTATTTTTTCCGTTTTAGCTTCAAACTGTTACCAAGCTTTCAAGAAAGTACTCAAAGTTATATGACAAAATAAACCCACTAAAAATCGGAAAATGTGTAAATTTACTTCTCAG